TATTATATCTTCTCTCATATTTAGTGATACATGTAATGGTCCAAGAATTGGAATAAAGTTATTAATAATATTAGAAACTTTAGTTGAAATTTTTTGTCCTTTTACCCAATTAATGGTGACAGGACATATTTGCCCAACAATTCGGCCACCATTTTTTCCGATTGTTATTGTTGTGATCACTAAACTTATTTTATTAGTTTAAATTCCTTCATCACGACTATGAAACCTCTCATCACATGCATTCGTTTACACCAAGAAGGATCCAATACATATTCGTAAACGTCGCGAATGATGTAAAACAGCTATAGTTAAAGTGTAGTCAATGTCCAACCCAGTTCTCTTTGTATAATTCGTTTGTACCAGGCTTTAAATGATAGATCATAACTTAATTTTAGTCAAATGACAATACATCTTAAATATAGCAACGCTTAATAGGTCTAAGAATTTTGTTTTTTTTTACATACCATCATTTCTCCCAAAATGAGAATGCTCTGCGGGAATATCCAGAGGTTCGTAAATATTATAAATATTTGCTGATGTATCAACATTTTTCACAAATATATACATTATCCACACTACGGCATTTTTTTTTTAAAAAAATAAAGTCGGTATATCTTATTTTACAAAGTTATTAATAATAATCTTGTGAAGAAAGTTTTATTTTAATTTGGAAGTATTAATTATATTTTTGTATTATTGGTTTTTCTTTTAAAAAAAGTTTTTTTTTTTGATTTTGGGAAAAAATAAAAACGTGATTATTTATTGGTTGATCGACATGGGCTCTGATTGGCTGAACCAATTTCATAAGAATTACTGCGGATGTTCATAAAAACGAAGGTATACAAGATAATGTAAACAAGTTGTTTATTTCAAAGAAAAAGAAGTAAAATTCTCATATATTTATACAAAAATACAGATAATAAATAAATAATAAAATAATATAATTATACATCATTATTGTTTTGCAGAAAGAGCGGTAACTCCAGGTAATTCTTTACCTTCAAGTAATTCAAGAGAAGCACCACCACCAGTAGATACATGTGAAATCTTATCTTCAGCATTCCATTTAGCGGCAGCAGTTGCAGTATCACCACCACCTACAATAGTTGTAGCTCCTTTTTGTGTGGCTTCAATAACTGCTTCTAAAGCTGACTTTGTACCAACTGCAAATTTATCAAATTCAAATACCCCTGTAGGACCATTCCATAGTATGGTTTTAGCCTCAAGGATGGTTTTTTTGAAAAGTTTATTTGTCTTTTCTCCTGAATCAAGCCCTAACCATCCATCTGGAATTCCTGTTTCATCCGTAGCATATCCGGTCTAAATAAAAGATAAATCTTTGTTAATCAAATTGAATATAGAATTACAATAAAACTTTATACTTACGTTAGCATCCTTGTCAAATTTGTCTGCTGTTACGTAATCTACTGGGAAAACCAAATTCACACTTTTGGTTTTGGCTTTTTCAACCAAATTAGCAACTGTCTTGGAACCTTCTTCATCAAATAAAGAATTTCCAATCTGAGAGATAAAAAGAATCGATTAAATAAATTGCTACTACGCTGAATTTATTATATATATATTATTTATTTATTCTTTACCTTAACATCATTAAGGGTTTTCTTGAAAGTGAAAGCCATTCCACCTATTGAGTAAAAAAAAGACATTATTTTTTTATATTAGAAAAGTAAATAACCAAGAATTAAAAATTACCTGTAATTATCATGGAATCCACTTTGTCGAGGAGGTTATCAATCAATTTAATTTTGTCAGAAACTTTGGCGCTGTAAAGTCATCATAAATCAGGACAATTTTAATAAATATCACTTTCAATTCCAAAGTGAAAGTTTCTCAAAAAAAAATTATATATACTTTACCCTCCAAGAATAGCCAAGAAAGGTCTTTCGGGATTTTCCAAAGCTTTGCCAAAGAAATCTAATTCCTTTTTTAATAAGAATCCAGCAGCACGAATGGGAAGTTCTACACCAACCATGGAACTATGTGCTCTATGTGCCGTCCCAAAAGCATCATTAACATACACTTCTCCAAGTTTTGAAAGAGATTCTCTAAATTTCTTTACTTCCTCGGGTTTTGCTTTGACCTGACGGTAGTAAAAACAACAATTAAGTAAACAATTCAAGTAAAATCAACATATTATACATTTATATATTTGATTACTTTATTTCCTTGATCATCTTTGGCAGAACCCTCTTCTTCGATATGGAATCTTAGGTTTTCAAGTAGGATAACTTGGCCTAATTGTCATAATTTATCGTAAATTATGTAGTAAATTATTTTTATCATAAAAAAATAATAGTTAAATATACACCTCCAGTTGCATTGAACGCTGCAGATTCGACGTCGGGGCCTACACAATTATCTAAAAACAAAACTTCTTTCTTAAGTAAATGACCGAGCTCCTCGGCAACAGGTTTCAATGAATATTTGGGAATTGATTTTCCATTTGGACGACCCAAATGGGACATTAAAATAACAGCTTTAGCTCCTTGTTTTATAAAATAAAGAAATCTCGATTAATTACAGAAAATATATCTTTTATATTGAAAAATAAAAGATTAATTACCATTTTTCAAAGCATATTCAATAGTTGGTAAAGCTGCGACAATACGTTGATTATTGGATATTTTGCCATCTTGGAAAGGAACGTTAAAGTCAACACTAATAAAATAAGAATTGATTTAAAAGAGCAATTACATTTTTTGTCAAAAAGGGATCTTCATATTTACCGAATCAAAACACGTTTATTTTTGACATCAATGTCTTGAATGGAAATTTTATTACTAAGACTGGTTTTAGACATTTTCGCAAATAAAAAAAATATGAGAATGAAAATTTTTTAATTTTTTTCTTGAATTCTTGAAGGTTTCGATCAGTCGATTTTTTAGATTTTGTAGGACAAAATTAAATATTACCATAATGGAAATATTTGCATGTGCCATTGACTCAATTGTTTATTCATATTTGAGTTTCAACCCTTTTTTGGTATAGCAATTTATCATCAAGATTGATATATTTTATCTTATTTTAAAATTTAATTTTATTAAAGACTGATGAGAGGTTCAAATCAACTACAGCATTTAGAAGTTTACTGTTTTTTACAGGGGAATCCTCAAGAAGTTTCTCGAGATAGACGAGTACGCCCCGATGATCTTGTTTTTTTCCTAAAATGTGTCGAAATGCATGAGCACCAAGCCTAAAAAAAAAAAAATTATTATTCATTAAATTATAAAGGATTGAAAAATTAAAAAACAAAATAACTTACCACATAACTTCATCTTTTTTAAGAGGACTTCTACTATTCCCAGATTTGTTCAATACCACCCGATACGCCGAGTCAAAGGTGTATCGAACCACTTCTATAGCATATAACGAAAAAATACATCAAAAAAATTATTAATATAAAATATAGAGTGATTATAAATTTAGCCCCTACCAGCTTCAAATGTTTCGTTTTTTTGTGATCCCTGCCTAGACATTTCTTTCACATAATTATGAAATTTCATTGCAGCCATGAGAAAATTCTGGTATATATTCAACAAGATGTTTTCCTTGGTGTTCAACGAAGCGTCATAAAAGATATAATGAGATTTTGTTGCTACAGTTCTAGTTCAAAACAAAATCGTATTAGAGTAAGATAAAGAGAAAATCATAATCTAATAATCGGTTATGCTTACTCTAGCATTTTTTGTTTTAAAAATTCACTATGACTTCCTTTCTTAATAGTCATAGTCAAGATATTGGCAATATCTGAAATTATTAACAAGCATTAGTAAAAATCATTAAACTGAAGACCTAATATAGCACTTACGTGTGGTTAAGTATCGAGAATAATCAACCTTGATATCCAAGTTGCGAGTGTTAAGGAGCAAACCACACCATGGAAAATCTTTATATTATATAGTAAACATATTAATAATAAATGAAAAAAAAAAATTATAAATTATGTTTTATAATGCCTACCGTAATTATCAACTTTTTTTATTTTTTCATTGAATATTTCCAGATCAAAATTTACCATGCTTTTATTCTTATTAACAATACACCGATATTCAGGAAGCCCTTTGTACATAGCCGTTATAAATTTTATGACATCCTCTTTGTTTGTGCTAATATACAAGAAGTCGTCAATATAATGGAGCAAAACCTATTAGGTAAAGTAACGCATTAATAAGACGTTAAAAAAATGCAACATTGTTAAACAAGCACTTACTCCATCATTGTTCTTTACAGATAGGAGTTCTGATCGCTCCATAACTCCATAGTAAATGCTGCACAATAACGATGACAATATTGACCCCTGCGGAATGCCTACCCTTTGTAAATAATATTTGTTTCCGGACTATTCACATTCATGAATACAAAGTTAGTAAATAAAAGTAAGGAATCTTTGAATTACTTGTTTACCTTTATAAGATTTTGTTGAATATGCTCTTCCAGCTGGTCAAGGACGTCTCCTAGATCATTATATGATTCTTTTATGTTCTCAACAAGGATCGCATTCTTGTATCTATGGGCCAATTCGGCAGCATATTTTGGAAATATTACGAATTCCTCTATAACAATTGACATAGTGTAAGAGACAACAAATAGGATTTCTAATAATATCAAAAAAAAAAAAAATAAGTTTTACCTCCATTATGGACATAAAGACCATTCCTTCTACGAATTTCGCCCCCTTTTGGATGAACCATTTCATACCGGTTTACTACATATTGTGACTAAAGTAGGGTTAGGAGGTATGTCTACTAGCATCATTATATTAATAATAATAATGATAGAATAGTATACAAACTTCGGTGAAAACATTGGCGTGAATTATTTCCATGAGTTTACTTTGATCGATTGATTCAAAACAGCATTTTACATCAACTTTAGCAAAGTAAAGCTCAAAATTGCCTTTATTAGCTTTATTAGCCAAATCCTTCTTATACCGAATTAAGCGATCTTGGACTTCATTATAACTAAAGACAGACCCACTCATTAACAATGGGTTATTTTTCTTTATTTAATAAAAAAATAAAAAAATTTGATTATTAAATATGTTAAAGTTTAGTAATAATATCATTGATAACTACCTTCTCATGTTTTAAAATTTGAAAAGTTGTGTTCAAAATAGCATTAATTGATTGTGGTTTTTTCAGATTTTTGCGAGTGGATTTGCTAGATATATCTGCCTTTTAGATTAAACACAATAAATTTTTTAAGTCTACATCTTATCAAACACGAAAGTAAAAGAAACCGTCTTACATTTTTATGCATAGGACGTCTCATATTAACAATAGGTCTAAGCTTCCCTTTATCATCTTTAGGAAGAAACTTTAATTCAGAACAACCCAATTTCTTGACTTCTAACATTTCAGACACTATCTCTGATGGAATCTCTTCAAATACAGAATCTAACAAAGGTTCGAGACTTCGTTTAGACATCTCTGACCAAACTTCTTGTCGATAGTAGAAAAGCCGATATTTTTGCGTTATGCTATTCGTTATGTGAAAGTTTAGCTATAAAATAATCGCATTATATAATAATAATAGAGAGATATCATTAAGATCTTGCAGATAACAGCTTATTAGTAAAAAATTTTTCGTTTACCTTGAGAAGCGGAATTACAAAACATTCGAAAGTCCACCAGACAAATTCATACAATATCTCCGAGCGTTTCAACGCTTCCACGCTATTGCAAGAATTTCCACTACCTGGTGGCACAAGCCATTGGCACTCCTTTATCTATTATTTAGGAACAAATCCACTTAAGAATCGATAAAACTTGATAAAATAAATAATTAACCAATGATGTATGCAAACCTTAAAACCTTGAAGAACTTCATGCATCGATAAAGCATCAAAACGACGACGCTCAATAAAAACCTTGACCATCTTATAAATTACAGTCTTGTTATTTTTGTTACCCCAAAATTCTAATGGTATTATGAAATCCAATGCTGAATTAACAAACTTTGCAACCTATTAACCCATTAATATTTCTTTTATCAGAAACTAAAGTATGGATATAATTCAGGATCAAGATGAAGAATTTATTTTGTAGTCATTACCTGATAAGAATTGTTGTAATTCGAGCAATTTTCATTTGCATTTGTTTCGTCTACAACCTAATAATATCTATATTTAAACAATTTTTTTTTTTATGCTATAATATAATAAGAACCAAAATTTAAAAGAATCAATTACTTTTATTGGACAGTGAGTGTCGAGTAAATTTTTATAATGACACCGTTTATGTCGCTTGATTATATTATCAATATATGGAAGAATATGTTGTAGACGATCCGGAATTTCACAATGCGATTTCTGATTTTAATCAGAACTTTAAATATTTAAAAACAGTAATTGATAAATACAAGTATTCTAATTAAAATACTTACATTGAATTCCGTTCTATTCATATAAATGTGATATAATTCACCAGGAGACAAAGCTTCTTCATTAGTGAATGCGTTACTGAGGCCAAATTGCCTTGGAAAAATATAACGTATCACGGAATCCAGCATATCATTAGAAAATTTTGCTACGTTAAGGATGTCTAAAATAAACATTTTAATTCAATGTATATTGCTTTATGATAAGTAGAACTTTACAAAATACTATGTAATACAATATTTACGTTCTTTCGGAAGGCCATAATTATTATATATTGGAGGACTGAAAAACATGATCGACCGGGAAAAGCATAAACTTGATAAAGAGACCGTGTTAGTTATTTTTAAAACTTTGCGGTCGTTCAAAACGATTGCTTTAGAAGAGGTTTCTTTGTTCAAAATTGCATCCTCTATTGAATGTTTCCTATGATTATTAAGATAACTATCTTCTTTTGAAACGGCCAACTCGTTATCGACATCGGAAGTTTTTGATACAATATCTTCAGTTTCTTTGACATCACCTGTTACCGTGCTTACTTTAACCACATCATGATTATTCAAAATGATAGCCTTATATGTTTCTTGAACATCCTCGATTGGACGTTTTTTCGGAATCTCCGAATTTTTATTTTCATTCAACATGGTAGACTCATCGCTAATCTCAACGTGACATGATTCTGTATCTTCTTTCCTAGTCTTTTTATCGGAATGCATTGCATCCATAATTTTAAGAAAAGCTCCTTTAGTCTTTTCTTTAAACTTGTCGTAATTTGATAATGATTCTTTACTTTTTTGTTCAGCAGGAATTAATTTCATGCCTTCATTTTCAATAATTTTTTCCTTGTTAGGAAGCATGGCTTCTATCAGTCTTGGTTTTTCTATCCATGTCCTGACCCTGTCGTTTAGCCCAAATGAAATGTTATCCTTTGAGATTATGTCCGAAATAAGCGGTTCCCCTTTGCTAATGCTACTAGACTCATTCTCATCGAAAAGCATATCAACTCCAGAACTTGTAGAATACAGTGTGACTTGTGAACTTGTCTCATGGGTATTTTGAGACGAAAAAAGGGTAGTATTTTGTGAGCTGATCTCACTAATATTTTGAGAAGGGATTGATGAACTCGAAACATAGTTTTGTGAATATGCTTTATTATCTTCTTCGCGTAGCTTTCTGAAAAAGGTAAGAACATCGCTTCGACGTTTAGAGATGGGATTGATGTCCTGCGATAGCATACTTTTCCAGGAAGTAGTTCGATCGTCTGTAATATCATTTTGGCTGACATTTTGTGACCCATTTATACCAGAACTCTGAGAGAGCGTATAACCATCTTGAGTATAAGTTTGTATATCTTCATTCTGAGAAGGGTCTGATGTAGAAATTTGTGGGTGAAGAACTGGACCAGCCTAAGTGTTAGATACTTATCATTAGACTGTATTGTAATCACAAATAGTCACCAAAAAGCCATTTGACTGTGTGATCATTGTGGCCAAGATGATGATTTTCTAAAAAAAACGAACAAATAAAGTTTTTACGAAAAGAAAAAATTTCTCGTAACATTAAAAAGTTTTGAACAATTTTAAAGGTGTTCATCATCTGACGTGACCACGAAGATCGACACAAGAATATTTACCTCAAAGGCGTTCTTAAAAGATGGCGATCTTTGTGGTATTGGCAAACAGCTTATAACTGGTCCTGCTAATTGAACGTAGCATCCATTTGGAAGTTCAAGGAATATAGAAAAATTTGTTAATAAGAAAATCATAGGTTCATGGCCGATCCTATTGATTTGATAATATAAATTCATCAATAAGTTTGAAATGATATCATAAAGTTACATAACGAATATACCTCATATAAAGTTTAAACCAGGCTCTTGATTTTCTCAAATAATCAACTGTGGAGTTGATGCCGGTTATTCTAAATCCTTGTAAGTTCAATGATTTTGGCTGAGCAAACCCAAAACGTATTACGTTGCTAACCGACTTATTGTCAGAACGATTAACCAGGATAGCAATGGCTTGGTTTATAGTCTACAAATTATGTCATTCATATTATTATTTTCTTTAAGAAACAAGGGGGCGCTGATATTAAAATCAAGTTATAAACAAATCACAAAGTTTCCAACTTTTGATAATATCATATGGCCCAAATATTCCTCAAAACAAATATAAATTAAACCATTTTAAAAATACAGAGTCAAGGCCAGAACCTCTCTTAGGGCCCAAATCTTGCTTCTCCCTCGTAATTCGAGGGAATCTTTGAGTTGTATCAGCAGTTATAACTGTGTTTGTAAGAAGTCTCTTGTATTCGAATTCATCTTCTTCCTTGAGTAACTCGACGTTTTCGTCTTGGTTGAGGCGAAGAAAGTCGAGCAAAAGGGTAAGGTTTGAATAGTAGACCTTAAGTGTAGTTCTATTAATTTTAGACATTTTTCTGTATTTATAAGGGAAAACGCATAAATTAGATGATCGATCAACTTCGCGTCTTCTTATGTAATACGCGTGATTTCATTTTGTGTCACAATTTATGATAAATGTTGATTGAAGATCGAAATTATAAAAAAAAAAACTTTTTCTTTATCATGTCTAACAATTTTAACAAAAATGTACCTCGTGTAGCTGTTGGGGTTTTCTATAGTCATGAAGATCGTGATACCGCTTTATCTGTTACTTCGGCTAAAGAAACTGGTCATGATTTTATAATTCTTCCTATAACGCATTCTGATTATAAACGTTTCTTGTTTGAAAAAGTTGAGGATAACAAACAGTACATGGAAGAGTGGAGAAATGGGAGTCCTTTTTTAAAAGATGATTTGATTATACAAAACAATGGTAAAAGTTTATTTTTGAACTATCGAAACTTTTTCATGTTATTAACGTTTTGCAATCATGAAATTTAGAACACGTCGATTATTTAGTTGGAAAAATTTCAGATTGGATCGATTTGGACACTTCGAATCACCAAATAAGGACAAATTCCGAAATTGTAAGTGAATCCATTGATGTATTCATATATTTATGATAAACTATTTTTTCTTGTAATTTAATATTTTCTTTTCATTCATAAAGGCATTAAATCAACAATTCTCTTGGGCGGCCCATTTAGGGTTAAATGCTATCTTGGTACCAACGCCAACAAATTCTTTCCTTAATTATGCAAGAAGTTTAAACAGAGTTCTTGGAAACTCGACTTATACACATGTTTGTATTTCTAAATATATATATGTATATATATAAGGGTTTTAAAACAAAAACAAAAACATATAAGTAAAATTTATTTCTGTTTGTTACTAGATTTGGATGAGAATACCTATAATCAATGAAGATACACCTTGTTCTAATGGAATGGAAATGTGGGAAAAATGGAACAAGTTTAGGACGTTTTGTGAAAATCACTATAAATTGTCTATTGGTATGGCATTTTTTTTTAATCAGCATAAAGATTATGACTTTTTATAAAACTTATTTTCTTTTAATACACTGGAAAATAGCATTGGAACTGTCGGTAAACCTGCCTGATGAAGTTTACCTTGAACGATGGTTTGCAGAACCTATCAAGGCTGTCTTATTACCTACAAAAATATTCTTAACTAATGTCAAAGGTTATCCTGTATTGAGCAAAAAACACCAAGGATTTGTCAAAAAATTAATGAAGGTTTATATTTGCTTTTCACGATTTACTTATTTTATTAAAAAAAATATATATATATGTTGTATAATTGACAAATTTAAATTCATCATCGTTTAGTATAAACCAAGTTTTGTTGTTTTTGACGACATGACCAGTAAACATCAGAATGTAGGTTTTGCCGCATATCAGGAATACATCCGATATATTAATCGATCAATGCCTGAACCTAATCAAATCGAGCAATTCGGTAATGGATACCAAGATTTTCTGCAATCTCCTTTACAGGTATTTGGTGAATTGTAAGTTATAAACGATGGAAAAAAAAATCTTACTAATTTTCGTTACTTCGTATATAGCCACTTATGGACAATTTGGAATCTTCCACATATGAAATATTTGAAAAAGATCCTGTGAAATATGCACTTTACGAGAAGGTATGAAATTCTATAATGTATTTGATTCGTGGAAGATTATTATGATTCAAAAAAAAGGTTTAACCTATTTTATTATGTCATAATTCTAAATTATCCTTTTTAAAGTATCATTAATATAATTAATTATTTTGTTTATCTTATTCATAGGCTGTATATTATGCTCTTCTTGATCGTGTTTCACTCGAATCAAATGAAACAACGTAATATCATCTATTCTATATTGAATTACTTTTGGTGATTTGTTGGCTAACTTTATTTTCATTTTAAAAGTGTTATTATGGTGGTTGGAGCTGGTCGTGGTCCCCTAGTTACAAGAAGTATAAATGCGGCAGAGAAAGCAAAACGAAAAGTACGAATATATGCCGTTGAAAAAAACCCGAATGCATTTGTCATGTATGTTCTATAAAATTTAAAAGCTTCTTGACAAGATAATTTCATCTCGGGAAAATTAATTTTTTAGCCGAATTTACTTAGATTGCAAAACATGAAATCTGAAGTGTGGGGTGATAAAGTCACAATATTGTTTGGTGATATGCGTAAATTGAAAGCTCCCGAAAAGGTAACACGATGAAGCTTTAATATAGTAAATAATTTTGATTCTTTCTATTGACTATGTATTTTACATCTATGTAGGCTGATATTTTAGTAAGTGAACTTTTAGGTTCATTTGGTGACAATGAGTTATCTCCTGAGTGTTTGGATGGCGCGCAGAAATTCTTGAAACGTAGGTAATTTGCTAAATACATATAGATTTTTAATTATGTCGGAAATATTTATTTAGTCAATATTCTTTTAATTAGCTGATGGGATATCGATTCCGTCTTCATATAGAACATTCATTTCCCCAATTTCATCATCGAAACTTTATAATGAAGTTTCCGCCTATAAGGATCTCGTACATTTCGAGACACCTTATGTTGTGATGTTTCAATCTGTTGCTGAATTGGCAAAACCTCAAGAAATTTGGCAGTTCGAACATCCAAATGGGTCAATTGTAATAGATGAAGGAGGTAAATATTTATAGATAGACCTTCTTAATGAAATATAGTCATTAGACCAAATCTTTAGGCTTATTATTTATTAAATCTTAATTTATAGGAAATCCTTTAAATAATTATCATAACACCAGATATTCAAAAGTTACTTTTAATATTACTAATAGTGGAATACTACATGGGATGGCGGGATATTTTGAATCAGTTTTGTATAAAGACGTCACAATGAGTATTCTTCCGGCTACACATTCCGAAGGAATGTTCAGTTGGTTTCCAATATTTTTTCCTTTAAAGGTACGGCATTAATATCGAAAACTGTTTTAATTTCAACGAATTAATTTTTATAATTTATATTTGCAGGTACCGATTTATATCACATCAAATTCAACTTTAGATATTTATTTTTGGAGATTAACTAGTTCCAAAAAAGTATGGTATGAATGGTGTGTAGACGCTTCGTTCAAAGTAGGAACCGAAACCAAATCATATGGATCTTCTAACATACAAAACGTTGGAGGAAGATCAAGTTGGATCGGATTATAAACCATTTAGCTGAAGTAATATTTAAAAAGACAATGGCTATTTATAATCATTGATTAGTGACGTTCCATCAAATCGGTCATTACATTATTCGCAAATAAGTTAATTACGTACTACAAATTTCAGCTCCGATTAATTATAATAAACTTTCAAAAAAACAAAACTGTATAAACTTTTTATATAAATATTATTTTTTGTAAATAAGTTGGTTTTCACATTTTTCGTCTTGATAAATTTATATCTTAAGCGTAAAGATGAGGAAACCGAATCATTACCGAAAAAAATTTGATATGCGATCACATCCTTACCAATATAATGGAACCATACCCGAAGCTAAAAAAGCCGGAGCAATTGATCGTTTAGAAAATGGAGAAACAAAATTAAAGTTGATAACTTTATTTCAAGAGAATATGAATTATATCAAGTTAACAGAGATACCACATGCGTATTTCTTTAGATTTAATCGAGCATTAGAATATACTGGGAAATTTGTAATTTTGAAGTTCATTATTTTTTATAATTAATTTTATACGTTTTATTAATTAACATTTATGATTATTTTTTATTATTATTTAAACAATTTAACAGAAATATAGGATCAACGATGAAATGCCAAATATTTTAACACAACACGAAAGTGGAAACGGTCAAGAAATAATTGTTCGACTATCAGAACCATATCAAAAGATGAAACATGATATTCTACCCACATTCAATCGTGATTCTGATAATGATGAAATGAAAGAAAAATCATCTAAATATCAGGTTCATCAAAATATCGAACAAAATGTTGAGGAATGGTTAAAAAAACTACGATATATTGATGATGAAAAGAAAGATGATACTCAAGAATGTAATGATCAAAAGGAGATAAAAGTTAAAGAAGTGGTTAATTTACGCATTATATTCGATAATGACGATGATATGAATTCTATTTCCCCTTTACAAAGGGATGTACTAGAATTTTTATTTAGGGATTGAGTGGGTTACTTTATTGACTATTTTTTTTGCATAATTTGCTAAAATATTTCTTGTTGGTATTATAAAAAAAAGTTCATGGTTATAAAAAAAAAATTATTATTATTTTCATACGCGTTCGACTTATATAAACCTATTGAGAAAGTTACTTGACTTGGATCAATTCAAACTTTTACAAGTAAAATTTCACCAAAATCAAAAATTTTTACACAAACATCATTCACAATTCTTGGTAATAGGAAAAAAAGTGATAGTTTTTTATTCAATGAAAATTATACATAACTATTTTTTCAATAGAAAAGATATACTATACTACTTATCCAAACTGAATAAAATGTATGAATCTTACTCTCACTAAGAAGTTTAATATTTCCGAATGAGAAAAACAATATATTAGTATGCTTGTAGAGGAAAAAAATTGATAAAGAAAAAAGACCTCCAAAAAACCATCACCACATCCACTTACTTAAAGAAAGCATAGCACTTGTTTTTAATGCATATTAACGAGGATCATGTAATGATAAAATTCTTTGACATTCTCGCAAAAAAAGGTATTCGAGAAATGACGATGAATTGCGTCAATAATATATTTCCTTAGATGGTATTCTTTCGCCGAAAGATAATTTTACTGAACATTTTGAATTAACCAATCAAACCAAAGAAACTTTTACAAATTTAGAAAATATAGTGAAACATTCCAGGTTTAGTTGTTTCAAATATAAATAGCTTCGTCTTAAACTATGGGTTTTACGTTTAAAATATTTCCGCGTATTACGTTTAAAAATCACACAATCATATGACTTTCCGTCATAGAATTTGAAAACAAGATTATTAATTCAAATCATTGTTAAATATGATTGTATAAAATTGGTCTTCGAGTATGATATACATTTTTTTATTTAGACAAGAGTTCAACTTTCTGATTTTTTTTTGAAAAATAGCGAATTAAGTAATTCGTTGACAAATTCATACCTTCCCCTTAATTTGCAAAGAAATATATCATAGGATAGCTTTGAGGTTCAGTAGTACAATTTGTAATTTTGAATTTTATAAATATGAAATATTAATCGATATGACGAATTATTTCCAAATATATTGTTTGTCATACGTCAAACGATCTAAATTTACATTATGTTTTGCTTAATTTGGGTATTATGGATATTAGGTCCAAATTCGGGATTATTTAAATAAAAATTTGAATTTTCTCATGTTAGTCTTATCATCATCTTTCCTCTCCATAAGCCCTATCTAAAAATTAAAAGGTTGGGGTAGAAAAGATGTTCGATCGTCTAAAATTTTGGAGACCTCGGAAGGCTCAACTTCTTGCTCGTCAAGTATTCGTCAACGAGCCTCTACCTGCTGCAAAACTTGATAAACATGGACGACCGAAGCAACAATATGTTACAAATAAAGTTATCACTTCAAAATACAATATTTTCAGTTTTATTCCAAAAAATTTATATGAACAATTCCGGCGCGTTGCCAATTTTTTCTTTTTATTGCTAGTCGTATTACAATGGTTTCCTGAATTCGCTACAATTGAGCCAGTAGTGGCAGCATTACCCATGTTTATTATATTGGGTATAACGGCTATTAAAGATGCTTTTGAAGATTTCAAACGTCATGTAACTGATAGATCAGTTAATCATAGGAAAACTTGGACGTTGGGAAATTGGTACAACGTCAACCATGTTGATGGAACGTCTAATTCATCCACGTCTTTATTTAGTAAAAAAGTTGATATTAATAAACCGGAGGAGAGAAAAAGTCCGGATTGGAAGCAAACAAGGTTTATGAATGTACGTGTTGGAGATTTCATTAAATTACGTAATGATGATTTCATTCCAGCTGGTAAGTCAAACAGAGTAGCCAATGCATCTTTTTTTTTTGAATGGCCTTAGCTCATTTTATAACTCCAAATGTCTTAGACGCGTAAAGAAAAAAATTGATTTATTTCAACAAAAATTTTTTTTTTCCAAACCGTTTATGTTTTATTAGACATCATCATCCTTTCAACATCGGAACCCAATTCCCTTTGTTATGTTGAAACAAAAAATCTTGATGGGGAAACAAATCTTAAAATAAGATCAAGTGTTCCAGAGACTGATCATTTAACTACACCAGAAGATTGTGCAAATATTCAGTTCTATGTTGATTCGGAACCTCCTACAACCAATTTATTCAGCTATAATGCTACTTTAGTATTCTCTAAGGGGTTACCAGACAGACCGCGTTCTCGCAGTGGATCAATGAAAATTCCAGTTAATTTGAATTCAATTTTATTAAGAGGTTGCGTGTTAAAAAACACTGAATGGGTCATTGGTTTAGTAGTATTTACTGGAACTGATACTAAGCTTTCATTGAATTCTGGGGCTACTCCATCAAAAAGAAGTCTTATTGAAAAAAAGATGAATCCACAAGTGTAAATTTTTGTAAATTAATTAATCTGCGTAAATATACATAATTCAAACTAAATATCACAATTTTCTTTTAGTCTGGCGAATTTGACTATAATGGCAATCTTATGTAGTTTATGTGCCATTGGTAGTAAGATTTGGGAAACGCATTATTTTAGAATGGATTCAACATATATCGAGCAAGGTGGAAGAGGTATCGAATTGAATGCCTTCATAGTCTTTTGGTAAATACTTTTTTAATTTCTTATGCGATCCTCTCTCTTTTATCATATTTGTTATTAAATTAATCCTTTGCAACTATACTATTATTTAGCAATGCCTTGATCGCTTTTCAAAACATCGTTCCCATTTCATTATACTTATCAATTGAATTTGTCAAGTCTGTTCAAGTGAGTTTTTGCTTTGTGTATGACACGCTTAACTCACATCATTATCCAAGTTAATACATCCTCATATCCTTAGGCATTCTTTATTTACATGGATGATGAAATGCGTTATGCTGAAACCGATACCCCTTGCATTCCTAAAAATTGGAATTTGTCAGATGATTTAGGTATATATATTCTTTTATTAGAACATTTATTCTTTTTTTTTATTAGTTGTTTAATCGCTATTTCTTTATTTTATAAATGTTGATAGGTCAAGTCGAGTATATTTTCTCTGATAAAACTGGAACTTTAACACAAAATGTAATGGCGTTTCGCAAATGTTCTATTGGTGGAAAGGTGTATCATGGTGAAACTTTGGATTATGATACTGAAGTTGGTACATCCACTCCGAGTATTATAATGAATGATAATGATAAATCAACACCATCCCAAAGCTCAAATACGAAAACTCTTTCTCAATCAACTATTCATAATAATTCAAAGAATAATAATGAAAAGAAAAATGAGTCAAAAGAAATACCAACGAAAAAGGCTTTTTCCGATAACGAACTTTTGCGAGATATGGAGACTGGCGATCCTAGTCACGCAAAGACTATTAATGACTTTTTCACTCTTCTCGCTGTTTGTCATACCGTGCTGGTTAGTACAAATGCTGATGGTGAACCACAATATAAAGCCCAATCACCTGATGAATCTGCACTTGTACAGGCTGCTAAAGAAATGGGTTATGTTTTTCGTTCTCGTGAACCTGATAATATTGTCATTACCGCACCAAGTGGTAAAGAGGTTCATTTTGAGTTATTGAATGTTCTTGAATTTACAAGTTCAAGGAAAAGGATGAGTATCATTGTGAGATCACCAGTGGATGGTCGTATAACTTTATATTGCAAGGGGGCTGATAATGTTATCTTTGAGCGATTAAAAAGTGGTCAGGACTATAGATTGAATATAACCGGCGAGCACTTGGAAGAGTTCGCAAAAGAAGGTAACCTCCTTTTTTTTTTATTGGAACTATCGTTTGTGTATATATATATATATATAAAAATAGGTTAACAAATCTTATTTCATAAAAAAAATAGGTCTTCGGACACTTTGTTTAGGCTACGCGGAAATTGATCCCGATTTCTATCAAAATTGGATCGGAGATTATCGTGAAGCATCCACTGCACTTACAGATCGTGATAAAAGAATTGAAAATGTTAGCGATAGAATTGAAAAAGATTTGTTATTACTTGGTGCCACCGCAATCGAAGATCGCTTGCAAGATGGTGTACCGGAATGTATCGCAACTCTTAAACGTGCAGGTATTAAAATATGGGTCTTGACAGGTGATAAGATGGAAACTGCAATAAGCATTGGATTTTCAACTTGCTTATTAAACCGAGACATGAACCTTATTATTATTCGTGGGGGTGCTTATGGAGAGTCTGGTAGCGCTTATGAACAAATGCGTAGCGCTGTTGAAAAGTTTTTTCCTACAGATCAAAATATTAAAAATAATATGCGGTCCATACAAGCCCCCCCTGTTACGCCAGTTATTAGTGTTACTCGAACATCTACCTCCCATTCGCGTGATTTTAGTGCAGGAGGAACCTTTTCTTTTATGTCGGGCATTTCGAATACGCAAAGACTTGGAGGACACGCTTTAATCATTGATGGAGTAGCATTAAAGTATGCTTTGGAAGAACCTTGGAGTAGAAATTTATTATTGGATTTGGCTTGTCGATGCAAAGGGGTTGTTTGTTGTCGAGTATCACCTTTACAAAAGGCTAAAGTTGTGGAATTGGTTAAGAATGGAAAAAATGTGATGACTTGTGCTATTGGTGATGGAGCTAACGACGTTAGTATGATCCAGGCTGCTCATATTGGTATAGGAGTTGCGGGAGAAGAAGGATTACAGGCTGTTATGGCATCAGATTATGCTATAGCACAATTTCGATATCTCACTCGTCTTTTATTGGTTCATGGACACTACGCATACATTCGCAACTCTTCTATGATTCTCAATTTCTTTTATAAGAATATGATTGGAGTTGGAGTATTATTTTGGTATCAATCCTTCTGTGGGTTCTCGACAACTCTCATTTTTGAGTACACCTACACATTATTTTGGAATCTGTTTTTCACATGTACAGCTGTGCTGGCAATTGGGGTTTTTGATCGTGATGTGCCTGATAGAGTGGCTATCGAAGTACCCGAATTATATAAGAGGGGTATTAATCGAGAAGCATATAAGATGCGAACATTTTTGTATTTTATGTTTGAAGGTGTTTATCAATCTTTGATATGTTTCTTCATTCCATATTCCGCTTATCAAAGAGGAAGTGTCAATCCTCAAGGACGCGCGCCCGATTATCTTGAAATGGGTACGACAATGGCGGCTGCAAGTATCACTATGGCAAATTTATTCACCGGATTTAATGCACAATGTTGGACAATATTTCATATTATTTCAGTTTTTGGTTCGATAACTTTATTCTTTGTTTACATTGCTGTCTATAATTTGCTTCCATTTTCGGAAACTTATGGATTTAATTATGTTGTGTATAGAGGGGGGATATTTTGGTTTTGCTTAATGTTGTCTACAGTACTTTCGATTCTTCCAAGATACTCTTTGAAATATTACCAAAGAAACTACGACCCTATCGATGTAAATATTATACAAGAAATTGTCAAGAAAGATCCGGAACATAACTTTATAAATGATCCAAATATACATAGAGGTTTAAGCTTGACCAAAGAACCAACGAGAGATTCATTATTTTCAAGAAACGATTCAATATCGCCTATAAAATCCGAGGCAGGATTTACTTATTCTCCGCGTCCAAGCTTTGCTACAGAGCGTACAAATGACGACATTCGCGTAACGGGACAGCCACCTGTTCCTCATATTCCATCAGATTACACTAGTAATATTTCGGAAACGCAAGAAGTTCCCACAAGTATGACATATATGAGAACCGGATTAACGGAACCAATGCGTGGTTATGCATTCTCACAAGAAGAAGGTACGGGTCGTATCATGGCACCACCTTTAAGACGACGTAAAACAAATCCTGGGACTATTAGACATTCTAAACAAATAATCGAAGAAAATAGTTTACGTCGTAGAAGTTTGCCGGAAGTAAGGACAATGATCGGTGTTTTTGGAGATGGAGGAGAAAGGACACGAATGGTACAATTTAGAGAATCAATAGGTGAAAATACGGTGGTAGAAAGTCCCGTAAATTCAAGAAGGGAGAGTGAAAATTTTACAGGCATTCAATCAGGCGAAAATGATGATGAGCAACAAACTCAATCAAACGTTGAGGATCCATCAAAATCTATAGACAATAATGAAAGTTAAAAACATTTTTAGAAAGGAAAAAGTTAATATTAAAATTTAAGTGTACAATTTTTTTGTAATATTATAATCATTAATATACAGTATCTATTTTTATTGTAAAAAAAATCTAGTTTCAATATTCTTATATAATATTAAAGCTATTTGATTCGAATATATATATATATTTATATATATATATATTGAATTAATCCAAAAAAAAAATAAAATAAAACAAAAATGATATTTCTTCGCTCATTTCGATGATTTGATCATGGCAAATAAAATAATTCATTTTTTCATCTAATTTGTACGAAAGCACAATCCTTATTATATAACCAGTAATAGTATAGGAAAAATAAAATTTATTTAATAACCGCCTTGCATTTCATGAATTACAGCTTTTGTTCTATCTTCACTCATAATTCCAAAAGAATGCACTCTCATACTAAAAGATCCGGTTCCACCAGTTAAAGATCTTAAAGAAGAAGAATATCCTAATAAAGTAGATAAAGGTGCATGAGCTTTTATAATCCTTCTTGGTTTCATTATTACTACTTGTTGAGAAGTATAAATCAAATCTGATGAAGGAATATAAATATCTATAGAATCATTATAATCTATTGATTGTCTTGAAACTTCTAATCCAGAAATAATTCCTCTTCTTGTCCCAGTTAAATCAGCAAGTACATCACCTAAATATTCTTCAGGTACTTCAACTTCAACATCCATTAAAGGTTCTAATAAAGCTGGTATTCCATTTTTCATTGCTTTATCAAATGCTTGAGCAACACATGTACTAATTGATGTCTTTGTTGATTCCAATCCAAATAATTTAAGAGAATGAACTTTAATATGAAGACCTGTAATCATATATCCTAATATTGGTCCTTTGTTAAGTGCTGATAAAATTCCGGAATATAATGCTTTTTCTATATCTTCTTTATTTAATTTTGTCACTAAAAAATTTTGATTTTGTTGTGTTGTATCCATTAATAAATTATTTGTAATATCTAATTCAATTCTATTACCACCTTCTTCTAATATTCCTTTATCATTCTCAGAAAGTGGTGTAATTATTAAACTAACTTGTGTCTTTTGTTTTTTTCCCATTAATTCACGATCATATAAAAAAGTACATTCTGATTGTTTTGTAATAGTCTCTCTATAAGATATTCTCATTTTTCCCATTACTGCATTAATCTTAAAATCAGTTAATAATCTATCTTTAATAATTTCTAAATGTAATTCTCCCATACCACTAATTAAAGTTTGACCGGAATCCGAATCCACATGAACATGAAAGGAAGGATCCTCTCTTAATATATTTTTAAGAGCATCTTCTAATGGTTTTTCCTCTGAAGTTGAAGCCGGTTCAACAGCACAAAAAAATACTGGAGCTGGAATATCAATATTTTGTAATCGAAGATCATGTCGCGTATCATTCACTTGAATAAGTGTATCTCCTGTTCTTGTTTCTTTAAGTCCTATTATTACTCCAATATTACCAGCTTTAATTGATGGTATTTCTTCTACATCATCAGCATACATTTGCAATAGTTTATTTACTCTTTCTTTTTGATGAGTATTTGTATTAAATAATGTCATTCGATTATTAATTTTACCTAAAAATAAATACAAAATGAATCATTAGTTTTTATTTAATTTGAACAATTTTTTAATCAGATAGATCATTAAAATATATACCGGAATATACTCGAACAAAAACCATAAAACCTCTTTTAGGATCATGAATAACTTTAAAGGCAAGTGCACAAAGTTTATCATTTTCTTTTAATGAAATCTCAATCATTTTATTATTCGATAAAGTGGCTAAAGGTATTGGTCGATCTAATGGGGAAGGTAAATAATCATTTATAGCATCCATTAAGGGTTGTACGCCAATATTTCTAAAAGAAGCTCCACAAAATATTGGTACGGCTTTTCCATTTAAAGTAATTCTACGTAATGCATCTTTTATATCTTTAACAGATACTTTCATAGGATCTTCATTTTCTAAAAATATTTCTAATAATTGATCATCCATCTCCGATAAAACTTCAATTAAATGTGTTCTTCCTTTAACTGCTTCTTCAAATAATGGATTTTGTTTATTTAAAATTGTTTTATTTACTATCGAACCTTTAGGATCTTTATTCCAATCTAATACTTTCATATCAAGTATATCTATAATTTCAGAAAATATGATATCACCTTTAGAATCTTTTTTCATTATAGGAATTTGACAAACAAGAGGTATTACACCTAATTTATAATGTATTTCTCTAATAGTTTTTCCAAATTCGGCTCCAATTCGATCCATTTTATTAATAAAAGCAATTCTTGGAATTTCATATTTATCAGCTTGATTCCAAACAGTTTGAGTTTGTGCTTCTACACCTGAAACAGCATCCAAAATTGTAACAGCCCCATCAAGAATTCTAACACTACGTTCAACTTCAATAGTAAAATCAACATGACCTGGTGTATCTATTAAATTTATTTGATGATCCTTCCAACCAAATGTAATTGCTGCAGATGTAATTGTGATTCCACGTTCACGTTCTTGTTTCATATAATCCATAACTGTGTCTCCATGATCAACATCTTTTAAACAAAAAAAAAAAATTTCATTATTTGAAATAAATATATTAATTTAATAAAAGTAGATAATATTATGAAATACCTCCTAATCTTTTTGTGAAACCTGCATAATGCAGCATCCTTTCTGTTGTGGTTGTTTTTCCTGTGAAAAAAAAAAGTTTAAATTTTATGTTTAATATAACGGGAACAATAGTGTATATTCCAAAAAAGGAATTCGGTGGGAAGCAATTCGTCTCAAAGATAGTTCACCCGGACATAAAAAAAAATTTCTACCTGCATCAATGTGAGCTATAATTCCAATATTTCTTGTATTAGATATAGGATAATCTTTTTTTAAAGTGATTAACAATTAGTTATGGAAAAAAAAATATATATATATATTTTGATACGTGGAAAAAAAGATAAAAAATTAAAAAATAACCCTTTGAAGTTGAAGTATATAGTTTTTTATTTATTTGATTTTTAGATATTAATGAAAGGTTTTTTAAATAACCCGATTTTAAAATATGATGAGAGAATTTAAAAATTTTAATCATATCAATCTTTTTCATTGTCATTATAACATAAATTTTTTATATGGGAAGAGTCAAAAAAAAAAAAAAAAAAAACCAAAACAATTTTTGATCTAGAATATTTGTCAAATTTCAAAAAATTTCTTGATGGGTAATCGACAATCAGTTTGTGTTACAATGATAAGAAAGGTCCTTTAAAAAAAATATGAAAGAGAATTAATAAATTTACCACAAGACGCGTGTTGTGTTAATTGAAAATTTATTTGATATACAGTTTAGTCATGGCAATATAATAAAGAACGGATTGGTATTTAAGATCTGGAATGATATGCTTTTATAACAATATATCATTATATGTATAATAAACAAATAATAAGTAAAGATTTATCAAATGTTTTAGTTCTATTTTTTACTTGTTAATAAATAATCCTTCCCAAATAAACTCCTGATTTTGTTTGTAAAAAAAGTTTTTAATACACATTTACCTTGTAATTGAAGGAATGTATGGATTGTCCCATATTTAGATTTATTACAATCTTTCAAAAATAAAAAAATTGAAAATTTTAGAGTAATAAAAAAAACTTTAAATACCCAATTCTCTCTCTCAGGATAACTTGAATATTATCTGTATTTATCTGTAATGGCATTAAATTAGTTTTTGACCTAGAAAAATATTTATATATCATTAATTATGTATCATTAATCGGATAAAATACTAACCTTTATTTCCTTGTAGATGTTATGACTGGGCTTGCCGTAGAAATAGGGAGGAAATATTAGAAAAAGAATATATAAAGAAAATATTACAAGAAATATTGAAGGAAGAAAAGCAGGTCATTAGAGGTTGTGAATGAACGCGTCATTCTTGGCGCTAAAACGAGTTGTCTTTGGCCTTCACACAAACTTAAGATGGAGCCCACCAGAGATAGCCTCCATAACTAACCCGACGAGTTGTCAAGTCACTTAGGTGGTTGTTTTGACAGCGTCCAACTCCCTCTCTATCTCCTCACCACTTTCCCACTTATGATTTTTTTATTTCTTTCGATCAAGCTTAAAATAAAACAACAAACATCACCTGAAGAATTTCATCTTTATTAATAGCAGAAGCGACCTCCATCCACTTCTTACTTGTAGTTTCTGCGATGTATGAAACAAACTTTGATACAAGGGTATGCTCGACCATCTTATTGAACGAGAAATCAGCTTTTGTCTTACAGAAATTCAGGATGGAGAGAAGGGTGAAATCTTCAGGGTCCAAATCATTTTCCCATCCTTTAAACTGTGGTTGCATTAAAGTTTTCAGGATAAAGAAAGATAAAGACGCGTTAGGAGCATAGAGAAAGTTTGTTTTTAAGCATTATGGACATTAGGGTATCCAGAAATATGTGACGCAAATATATACGCATATTTTAAAGATTTTTTCACATATGTTATGTGTCACATATTTTATAGAAAATCACATAAAATATGTATTCACATATTCTGCAACTAATATGATTGGCTAATAAGGCCTTTTTTTCATAAATTTTGTAAAATGGTCTATTTTAGCATATCAATATTTTTTAATTTTTTTATCATAATTAATTATTTATTTATTTAACATTTATTAGATGAATGAAGCATTTACTGTAGATTGAAGGAAATAATAAAAGAAGAATTGGATTTAGATAATTATTAAAAAGAAAAAAGTCTCACTTTATCAAAAATAGAATTGATTTATATTTGGCTACTAGTAGCTAGAGTAGATGTAAAGCACAGTTTTTCTAATTACAAAAATATTTTGATTAAAGAAGAATGTGTCTCTCTAAAAAGTCAATTTTGATGCTTAATTTTTTGTATTATAATCAAATTAAATAATTTTGCGAATGATTTTTATATTATTTTATATTGCTGAAAAAGTAAATTTCATATAATTTTACCAAATTATAAATACATATTATCACATATTTCATTTTTTCACATACATATTTTGAGATTCATCACCACATATTTCTGGATACCCTACCACATAATTTAGTAAATTATTATGATATTTATCATACCTTCCACTTTTCTATTTTTATTAAGTATTCTGAAAACGAAATTTTTTTCGGAGTAAAATCATATTTGTCACGTCTTATTTGTCATATAGATTATTTACTAATACTGTAATGCCGGCCAAAGTCATGTGAAGTTAAAATTTTTGTGGTGATACTGGATTAAATGTATTTGGCGACCTGATCACATGATGAGTTTCAATCAATTTTGATTGGACAAAATATTAAATAAAAAATTTTTTTGCAATTTTTATTATTATTTTTATAAAAAAAATTTCTTAGTATAGTTTTTTTTTCTTTCTTCATGTTAATATAATAAAGTTTCATAAACATTGAATAAAGTTAATGCATATATATTAAAGAATGGAAATGTAAAAGTTTAGACTAAACTAAAATTATATAATATATACACATTAATTCCCTTTAAACTTCTTTTTCTTTATAAGTTTTGCTATTATGATCAGTTTGCTTACATAATTTACATTTATATACCTTAGTTAAGGTTCTGCAAAATTGAATTAAATCAAATATTTGATTGAATCAAATCAAATTGAATCAAATATTTAATAAATCAAATCAAATCAAATCAAACCAACCAAACTGAATCAAAATGATTAAATATATATATTTATTTATTTTTAAAATATGATAAAGCATTTATTTATTAAAAAATATTTTCATAATATAAATTAAAAAAAGTCCCAAAATAAATACATAAAGTAGAAAATAAAGTAAATGCTATTTAGCTTTCATCAAAGGCATATATGCCTTCTTCAACCAAATCAACTGGTTATCTCGTTACATTCAATTTAAAATAATTTAAATATTTATAATTAAATTCACATTATAAATATTTTTTTAGTTAAATTTTTTTATTGTTATTTTATTTTTATATTAATAACATTTACAAAATTAGAACTTTATATTTTTTTCAAAAAGAAAAAGCGCTATTATCCTGATACTCTTTTTATTATTATTATTAACAATTATTATTTTTCAAATTATACAAAAAATTTATATATAAAAAAAATTAAAACATATTATCAGACTTTAGCCAACTTTTAAAACACATCATCACACAAATTGTATCACTTCCAAGTCTATTATTTATATTCTGTATAATTATATTGCCACTTTGACTAAATAATTATTTTACAGATGTACTAGTAGACAGTATTGATAAATAATCACACATTATCATAAATAATGCTGAAAAATTAATTTTGTGATTTTTTTACCATTCTAATTAATGATGCTGTTTGAAACATGTAGCTTAAAAATTGAGAAACTATTTCAAAACCTTTAAAATCACTTTTTTTAAATCTAAAACTTGATAAAATAATTGAATTTAGGAAAACCTATTAGAAGTTTAAGTAAAGATATTTATTATAAACAAATAGTTTTATCTCAAATATCTCAAAAATCTCCAAACTCAAATTTTCTAAAAATAGTTTAGAGAGGCATTTTTAATTCTAATACATTTATAGTCAGGATTAAGAATTTTGTATATACTAGATAAATTACCACTATACTTGTACTGTACTTGTACTAATTTTTATATTAATTATTATAATGTACTAACTGTACTAATCATTGTACTAACACT